ATATTAAAAGACATAGCTTTATCCAACTGTTAAAGGTCAAGGTCTATTGGTAATTGAGTGAAATTAATGCCTGAAATACTGTAATCAAGAATTGGATTATAAAATTGGATTATAGAAATTAAAATTTCCAAGATAAATTCTATATTTTGTATAATAATAATGAATCAGGTACGTGTCAGATAAAGGTATCTCATCAGAAATTCAATAAAATTTTCTGTCTTCTGTTGACATTATCAGAAGAGCAAAAAAAGTGACAAATGTGTGAGAAGTAAAGATAGTGTTGGTAACGAAAACAGTTCCAATTTTATATATCTAACTATTTCTGAGAGGATGTCGGTAGTAGAGGATTAATGAAGCATTGATCGTGTGGGTCCCCTTTGTTCGTGGCCCCGAGGCAGATGCCTCTTTTCCCTATAAGATAGCGCACCACTGAAAACGCCGTAAGTTCGTCGAGAAATTGCGTAGCACGCCGTCGTCCGAGTTTCTTATCCGATTTCGATGCAAACAAGTCACGGAATAACGATATTTCACGATCGGCTCGTGCAACCGGTTGCATATCTATAAAGTAGCGAGGTCGATTTTACGATATGACTCATTCGTGTCGAATCCCAGACGGACGATTGTCAGTTTCGCGAAAGCTATTCAACGACTGCGTTGTACGCGGCTAGTGATAGGGAAAATCGCGGTCGTTTAACCGGACTCGGTCTCCTGATTCGACATTCAAGTCACCCAGGACAGGGGTCGATTACCTTATAAATAAAGAGGACCAGAATTTCACGTTTAAACAGAGAAATGACGAATCGAATTTATTAAAATTTATTCATTCAACTCTAAGAAGCCATCGCCTCGATTACTTAAAGAAAAAAACAATATCTACGCAGTACACCCCCGCTTAAAGAAAACTGGTAACCCCCATTTTCGATCATCGAGCGAGGTACGAGTGTTTAGTGCGTCATCGTCGCGCGCTGTGCTCTTCGACAGATCGACGATTGTCAGTTTCGATTCCAGGAATTGTAAAAAAAAATTCCCTATCTGCGTGAACTATAAACACAAAGTTATGCGTTCTTCTTCGAACGGGAAGATTGACGTACTCGCAGATAAACGCTCCGACTCGTCGTACGCGTTCGGATTAACGGCTTCTCCGCGATCTGCGAGCGAGTTGCATCAGCGACCAGAGGGGCAGAAATTTTGTTTTTTTTTTACTCTTGTTCAAGGCAAAGAATGCGACGCGCCTCGCGTCCGAGAAACTATAACGTCGGTGAAATGGTTCCGTGAACCGAATCCCATCCCCGTTTACACGAGATTCGAGCGTGGAGCATAAACGGGATTACGAGCTCTGGCAGGAAATTCCATGAGGAACTGGCATAACAGGAATAGAGAAAAATTGTATTTGTATTAATTGTGACGGGTAACGAATTAATATAGCGATTCACTCGTGACGTTTATTTAGGTGTTTAAATTTACATTTTTGAAAAATTTCATTTCTTTTAGTATGATATTTTAATATTTGGTGTGAAGATTTAAAAGATTGACATACGCATTCTCGCATTAAAGAAATCGCAAAAACAAGGGTGTTAGTAACAGGATATGGTCTACAGTATCGACAAAACAATTATTGTTAACAAAAATATTGACGTAAATATTCTCAACTGATAAAATTGTGAAACACGTAAGACAGAAAGCATCGGAGCCGCTTGAGAAACAATAATGTCTTCATGCATCATAGTTCAATTGTCGTATTAACGGGTTTCCACGTACGCATTGTAAAAGTGAGCGAATTTTCGTTACACAAGTCATCAGAATTCATTACGCAAGTCGTCACTCTTAAGTCTTCAGCTATTTAAATAGGAAACGATACAAAAGCGTTTTGAAGAATGGAAGAAACACTTGCAATTCGCCACCTAATTATTTGATTAAGAGATCAAGGTCTATCGCGTCGCGTATTTGCAGAAGCAATTCTCCGCAGACTGATTGGCTAAAATGTTAACAGAATATCGCGAGAAAGCGATGTCGTAGAAATAATAAGTGAATTTGACCTCAATTTTCGAGTTTTAATTAAGAATCAATGTACATGCAAATGTGGGTTAATTTGAAAGTTAAGTGGAATGGTTCTGAACGGTATGTTTATTAATCGCGCGACACAGCGCGTTTTAGAATTTTAGTACAGATTTCTGGGAACATGATCTTGCATGCAATAAATTATATAATTCGTGGTTGGAACTTTGTATAATGGAGTTCACAAAAATAAATCGGTGTTTCTTCCAAGTTTTGTTGGCGAATGCTCTACTTACTGTTTCGAATATTCGCAACCAGATGGCTGGTGATAAGATTGTACATTCTCTGCTGAACGAAATTTTTGAATTTGGAGTTTGGCAAATTTTACTACTGATCCAATTTCTTTGAGCAAATTCTTTTAGGTGAAGTTCCAAATCCATAACTAGTTACATAACACGTGTATTGTATTCGATTTGACATAGCGAATGAATTTTTCAAAATTCTTCCGTCGATCCAAAAACTATTCGTCACGAAATGTCTTTCTAAAGACGTAATGCGACCTTGTCCCACTGTCTCTCCCTAACGAACCATTTAGGACCGTCGAAAAATGATGGTCCCATTCGTCGAATCGCACGCGATCCTCGATGCATGGAGACTGACGCTACATTCGCGTTAAACGAGGACCGCGCAAGACAAGCGTGTCGGAAGGTACCTATCGTGCACATAGGCATTATATTATGTACATACTCCGCTATCCGCGCGCCTAGCTGGCGCCCGACGCATACTTTATCGTCTTTCTAAACTCGGTATCGTGCGAACGGCAAAATTTAAATATTTATTATTTCGCAAGCGCGCCGCCTTTGACCGGAATTCGTGGCACGGCGTGTCCCGACCCGATCCCGCGGGACTCTCGGGGCACCAGGTGGCGCCAGCCGTGAATGTAAATCTATCGATCGATCGTGAATCATTCGGACGACGATCGTAACCGAACGCTAGCCCTCCCCGCGGGCGATTTTATCGTTTCCCCGAGGTCGTCTCGTAACCGACTCAATTTCTGTCGCGACTTCCTCCCCTCGCTGCTCGTTTGCGTCGCTTCCCCTGCTTTTTCGGGTAAACAACGCTAAGCTTTTACAATAGCGGACAAAAGATTACGACGGAAAGGAAAACGAGATAGAAATTGCTCCTTTTCGCGTTGCAACGCGCGATTACGGTGAGATATTTTTTGTAGATTATTATTAGCCTGCTCCATGTTATACAAAATTTTATCCCGTAAATTGATTTACGTTTATCTTATCTATTTATTTTAAAATCTACACTCGCCTCTCGAAAAGTAATTAACAGTTCCGAGGAGACAGTTGCATGGAGCCTCCTCACAAAAACGGACCTCGAAGACAAGCCTTTGGGTTCTTCTTCGTTCTTATCTTCGATGAATACCCGCGCGTATCGATAAAACGTTTAAATTGCACGCGTTCTTAATTGCGCGCGGCGCTGGTAGCGGCAAAAAGACCGGCGGGCGAGTTTAAACACGTCGATAGAACCGTTCTTTTTTTTTTTTTTCTCTCTCTTACTTTCGTTCCGGAGAACATATACAATTTTGCAATTACCGTGGCCGCGATGTGTGACGTAGCAGCGCGACTGCATCTGCTTCGCTCTTATCTCGAGTTCTTTTTTTGTTCGTCGTGCAGGACACTCGTATCGTTCCAGCGATTCTGAACTTTCGTCGTTTTCTTCGTCGTTGCATTGAAAAATTAAGAGCCAAGATCGCTCCGAAACATTTATGCTTACGTACAATAAAAATTGGACAGGTCTGAATATAAGAAAAAGTGTGACGAATTTCTTTTTGGAATCCACCAGTCGAGAACACGAATACATAATGGTTGTTTTGGAAGGAAGAGACGTAAAGTTCTTTTGCTTTTTGTAACTAATGTTTTTTCTATTATTAAGGAATCAAAAGTAGGTTATCTTTAATTCTCGTCTCCGCTTTTCCAATGAATCACCTGTGATCCACCTTTTGTAAAAAGTGCAATCCTTTGAGTTCCCGTTTTAATTAATTCGTAGCAATTCGAAGTAAATCCACGGCGCATTAAAGGTTGCGTGCCCGTCGGCGGGTTTAATTACTGTGCCAGTACCGATAGGATTAACCCGCATTAATTACCGATGAAGTATGCAACGCCTGGAGGAAGAAAGCGCGTGGTAAGGAATGCTTTTCCACTCGGAAACGCTTCAGAGCAGCGAAGGCCACGTGCAACAGTAAATCTCAGTCGTGGGATACAGAGACGAGCGAAATTCTTATCTAGGTAAGAACGACAAATAAAACTTTTTATCCGTTCATCTTTTTAATGCCAAGAAGTTACATCAAAGCGAGAAATGCCGAGCTTAATCGACGAAGATTGATAAGACATTTGAAGCTAAAATTTGAAATATTATTGCTCAGCAGTGAAATGTTTAAAGTAACTATAGTGTTTTTTTATTTATTGCACGATGCTTTAATGTTGACGACAGAAGCTTATTATCTATCGTGGTTTTTTTTTCACGAAGGATTTAATTTGCAGTATAATTTCAGCTCGGTAACGATAACACAGAAATATCGATCTCGTTTTCTTTCGACCTCCCTCGCCACCCACGTGGCATCGTTCACGCGCTGCTTTTGTAGTCGCGTCACCGACTTCGTCACCAGATATATGTAAAATTGTAAATAAACAATTGTAACGAGGGCATAAAAGATAAATTTAAAAATCAACTCTTTCGTACCACCTTGTAAGATGTTCTCAGATGAAAACAGGTGGTTTCCCACAAACCTCCTCTAAAGGTTGAGATCTCTCAACCCCGAAGACCAATAATCCAATTACCATTTACCAATGAATTTGTATCTTTCACTGACCAAATAAAAAGCTGCTCGAAAACGCGCGACTTAGCTCGCCTCCGTTCTCTATTACTCCGAAATAAACGCCGACCTCCTCTCGTCGCCAACTTTCCCATGAAATCACGCTCCCAAAAACGCTTACCATTGTCATCGGACTTTCCCTCGTTATCAGCGAGCACCTCGTAGTCGCCGGAGTCGGAATCCACGGAAGCACCAACCACCACAGACAGGCCGGAAACCACAGTCGCGAATGTCAGAAAGTCGCGCGACAGCATTTTCGACGGAAATAAAAATGAACCGGACACTGTCGCGATAGCGAATCGCGTAACGCGTTGAAAAAAAAAAAAAAAAGAAAGAAAAAGAACTCACGGACGGCAGTGGCACGAGTTCGACGATCGCTCGAAGATTGCGAATCAACGGGAGCCACGATTGAACTCCATCGATCGCGGATCGTCGATTGGAACACGGCTGGCGGTCACGATCTGTGTGTCCTTCTTGTGATCGTTGAAAAATTCATAACGAATCGTCACGAGTACGTCGCGTTGATCGAGGAGGATCGAGGGTTCGGCGTTTTGTTGCGATTGGAACGCAACGACGCGACCGATCTCGACGATGGTCGACGCTTGACTGACTGACTCACTTCGAGGCTCGAAAAGCAAACGCCAGCCGGACGACTCCGCCGCGGCTGGCGCGCACCAGGGGCACCCGGCGAAGAACACTCGCCAGATAGTTTTTAAACGAGTCCGCCTCCGGTCGAGATGGTGTGCGCCCCTTGTCGGTGAACCACGCACCGTGAACGCGTACAATACGCACGTTCAACGACTGCCGTTAATCTGCCATCTAGCCTCCGCGCTGGTCGCGGGTACGGCTGTGTCCGCGACTTTTTCTTCGATTTTTTTTCTAGTTGGATACCTAGTCGAACACCTCGCCAATTAACGTTTCGGACGAGGATGATTCGGATAGTTGGCTCTAGTCGAGTGGTGGATTATTCGAACATGGCTCGAACAGTGATCTATACGGATACTGTTCGAAATGCGTTGAAGTATTTGAACGTGTAGCTGTTTGAATACGATTGGAGCTTGAGCATCTTGAACAATTGAACTATTCGAATACGTTTGACGTATTAAATTATTCAAATACATGCAGTAATCCACATTCCTTAAGCAGATACCTTAATTACCGTACTACTTATAGTAATATACCGTATTACTTGTAGTATTCGAAAACCTATAAAATACTCGAATAGTTCTACCCTTGTCAAGGGTCGTAACAAAGACCTTACAAAGACACGTAATCAAAGTGTTGAAAGCATCTCGTAAAACAGTGCGGCTAAGACTGACAAACTGGTCATCTTTGGATAATTTATAAAGTGCAGTCGATTAATTTTCTAACGGGTAACCGTCCACGAAAATCTAATCCAGACGCGATCGAGCCAGTGGACAGGCGATCCCAGCGAACCGTTCGTTAGACCATCGATCTTCATAGATCCTCATCGAAGCAATTCGATCGGTTAGAGGAGGCTGAAGGAGCGCACATGGCCTGTGCCACTTACGTTAATGGCAGCCACTGTACCAGAACGTATAGTATGCGGGCAGCTCGGTGGGACTTGTGTGTTGGTAAAAGGTTGAGTGGTGCGGATCGACGCCGGGAAATGGGCGGTCGGTGAGGGAAACGCGGGACAGAGAGAGGGGAGACAGTGGCGCCTGAGCCCCGAGGCAGAGACGCCACGTTGATACTCGTGTGAGTGAGTGTCTGTGCAACTCACATAAGCGCTGGCACACGCTTCGTGCGTCCCGACGCGGCGGAAGAGAAACGATGCAGATCTACCGCGATCTATTTTATTTTCCATTCGTTCTTACTTTTCCATATTTCTTAATAAAACTGCATCTAAAATGTCATACACTTGTACAAATTTCCATCACAAATATTCGATATATTGTTATGTAAACACCACACGTATATATTGTTGATATTTTAATTGTCGAAATCTATCGTAGTATTCTAAGTAGAATACTGTAGCAGACGATTGCTTCGCATCAGGCTTGAAATGATAAATCAAAATAAATTCTCTCTCCATGCTCGTAAACATTGATCGTCATCGTCGACATCGAAGCGTTTCTTTTAAAATAAGACGCTCGAACGGACATCAATAGATAATTACTTTGCGCGAAGCAACCGTTTGGATCTACAGTTTAAAATTGCATTCCAAGATACGCGAAGCGTGGTGCACGAGGCATAGGCACACGCTCGACGAGTCCTGGATGAAGGAAGAGGGACGATGCAAAGAGCGGCAGCTTGCTTATACCGTGGATCGTCGGCCCTCCTTCTGTCGGCTGGTCGCCTTTTTATCTTTGTCATGCGCTATGTCGTTCCAAGCTTCTTGTCCCTTCTTGCGAACGAAAGTGCCCGCGGTTCGCGTTTATACGCGGACTTTTAAATGCGCCGATGGCAAACCAGTAACCATTAACACTTTATTGTCTCACGTTTCCCGCGTGCATTTATTATCGACTGCCAGTGACGGGTTTCGATGTACTAGGAGAACCAGAAACTGGAAGGCCGAGAAAATTCATAAAAATATTCGAGGTTCGGAGAGGATCAGAGGATTGGAGGATTAGAGGATTGGAGGATTGCATCTGTAGAGGATGAAATGGGTTAATAATTAACTTCCTGATTTATAGGGAAGTAATTGTATTTGCCCCTAAAATCGATCTTTTTGCAGAGCTTCATGTTTTAATGTCGTTGGAGTAATTTTAGCCTATTTATAACAAATTGTTCATATGTGTATGTGTGTGTATGTACGTACGTATGTAAACAAATTTTTCGTTAACGTTTTCTAAAAAACTAATAGCGAGATCAAAATAATCGATTTGTATTAATCTAACTTAGAGCTGATTAGATTTTGTTTTAATTCGGTCCGGTAGTTTTTTAGTTTTTTTTTTTTTAAGAAAACTTAACTCAATAACGCAATCTAGATGGGAGAATATAAATTTATGAGCGAATAACTAAATAAACGGAAATAAATAATATATATACATATTATTATTATTATTATTATTATTATTATTATATTTATGCGTATATAATTTCAGTTTTACTTTGACTTCGTTTGTGAAGAAATGGTGTAACGGAAATATGGTTAAACGATCTTTTTTTTTTATGTCACAGTCAGAGTGTGCGTGTCACAAATCGTTCATTAGTGAAACTCAATAATCACCCCAAATGAATATCGTTAAAAAGACGAATTGTTAGCGGAATAATTATTAAACGATATTTTCCAAGAACCTAGAATTTAATATTTAATAATATCTGAAGTTCAGCTAACAGATTGTTCGTGGGGAGGAGACTTAAGCTAAGTCACTGCTTGCTGCGACAAGATAAACCAGATGCTAAAATTAACCTTCTATTGCAACATTTTTCGTACTTTTATCAGTCACGGAACAGTTTCAATTTCACAATAGTGATTCCAGAAAGTCGGACAAGCCGTCGCTGTTTTCTATGCCAGTGCTTCGCAACGGGTGCGACGAGGTACGCTGCTCAGCCGTGACGAGAGTGTAGGTGTGTTGCGAAAAAAAAAGTTGTAATAAATTATCGAATAGACTTTATTTCCATCGCTTGCAGATACCGCTATAGGAATAGTCCTACGCCAATTGCCACTACCTACTCACGCGAGTAAACGTTTTCAACAGTGGTCATATTATGTAATTGATCGGTTTTTAAATACTAAAGGAAATTATAATCATTAGTGGTCGAAAAGGTCACTTTAATTAAATACTTACAAAATATCATTTAATAACTATTCTACATCCAACTGTAACACAGTCTAAACATAACTAGGAGATTTTAAAACGGGTTTACCATAAACGAAATTGTTTCGAAATATAGTTTAAATCGCGTGCCATTTAAAGGATTCGAGGGCTTCCTCATTTCGTAACATCGGATCCATACTTCGGAGCATCAACGTGCAATTAAGAATGGACAATAAGAACGTGAGCGTGCGAAGACAAGAGATGAACAAGATAAATCGTCACCGTCTGTTCCGTTAATCGGTCTCCCTTTCAAACTCCGACGTGCATTATGCATACACGTGTCCCTCGATGGCCCTTTTCGCTCCGCGCGAGATCTCTTACTTTCCTTCCACGTAGGATCGATGGCCGTCAGGCAGGGATCACCACGTGGATCGATCGGTTGCGACAACGCTAATGTAACGAGCGTGTAGACGCCTATTTTCGAGCAATTTCTAAATTTAAACGGACGCAGAACGAGATACGGTAACTCCCATTAAAAATTGTTCCTCGGTAGTCGCGCGAGCAAATCACGGAAACGCAATTCCAGGCGACCAAACGGGCTTTCCTTACGAGGCACTAACTTAGTACTACCAAGCACGAACGTAGCCGGCTCGATACTTTGACTACGAGCATTTCAAAGTCGCCAGTTACGCCGTTTATTTTTAGCCAGGCATTAGCCAATTAGCTATTAACTCCTTGGCGCCACGGCGTTGCTCCTATTTTTGCTTATTTCTTACTCGAGATAATGCATCGCGGGTCGCCCCTCTTCCTCGGTATTTCGTCGCGGATAATCCGATCCGCGGTGACGTGCCCTGACGTTAAGCGCCGTTCGCGAACACTTCGCCAAATGAAATATGCTTCTGGCACGATCGCATTGCCGATAGCGTTCTCAGGCTCGACGGAACTCTTTCGTCTACGCGAGCCGATGCGATAAAATTTTACGACGACTGGGGAGAATTTCCCGCGGGTTCGATGAGTTTCGTTCATTAAACGAGCGATAACAGCGAAGACAAAGGCACGTCTAATGAGAAACCCGTCGCGGTTCGTTGACACTCGTCGCGATACGCCAATCTCCTGATTCCGGGTCGAGGATGACGAAACATCGCTTCGCGTGCTCTTTGGAGTACCATCGGGGTGATTTTAATTCTTCGGTGGCTCGAGTAATCAGCCAGAAAATTTCGAAGCGTAGTCCCATTTTCCCTAACAAATTCAGAAAGCTATTCTCTAATTATTTCGTGCCGCGTATTAGATCAATCAGTACGAAACGTCGGAGTCTCTATCGCCGGATCAGAAACAGGACTTAATTACGCTCTTAATGCGTGGTACACGGAAGTCGAACATAAATTATTTCATGGTTGGGAGAGGATGGGACTTGCTCAACAGTACGACCGGTGGACAGAGGAAAAAAAGAGGAACGGGAACGAACAGAGAGAGAAACGTCTTGTTAGTGGCTCGTGGATGAACCAGTTAGACAAGCCGCAGATATTTATCTGAGATATTTGGCCGTTCGAGGATCGACCAAGGGAACCGGGTATCTACCTACGAATCGAGCCCATATGTTTGGAGGAGTGATCGATCCTCGTCGGCCGCGACGAATGCGGTGGTCAAGCGATCGAGATCCACGGTTGGACCCGACGAGCACCTGGTTTATAACTGGTTGGTTGGTTCTCGGGCCAGACCTAATGGAATACGTTATTGTTTGTCACGATTCCATCAGGCATGACTAAAGCATGATCGAAGACGTCGACAGACGTTGAGCTCTGATAATGTGTTTCCGTTTGGAAAACAATTTAACCCATTCAACCATGAATTGTTTTATTTCAGATACGTTGAGTTTTTCTTTTTTCTTTTTCTTTTTTTTTTTTTGCTTGTTCTTGTTTACTTGGGCTTTACGGGCATTGAACTTAATTACAAAAAAAAAAAAGTAGTAGATCACATTATCGCAGTTGTTTGCGAAACTAATGCTACAGTTACACTGCTTGAGGTGATTCAGAATTGTGGTACATCTTTGTAAGTTGTGGGTACGAGTGAAAAGTAGATGGGACTTTGGAAGTTTAAAGTAACCCGTGTTGAATGAGATATATTACATTTTCGAAAGTTATTACATCTAGAATATCAATTTTATTTGAATCGATAATTTTACATTGATAATTTTCGAACAAGTTAACATTTCTTTGTAGAAAAAACTATGCGTGTTTCCTTTAAACATAGATAAGTAAACGTGTAAAGTTTGAGATAATTATCACCAACAATGTTTGACAAAAACATTCATCGAGCAATTTCCATTTCCATATCGATAATGCTCGCACCTTGATATTTTAATATTTAATGAAAAACATGAATACCTATTTATTGTAACAAAATTATGCCCATACCTCCCATAGTATCTATTTTTTATTAATCAAGCAAACCAAAATTTCTTGTTCCGCTATATGTTCCAGTTCGAGAACACTTATTCTCAGCTTCCACCACTCTATATCAGAAGACCCCCTTACATTACAATCGATCAACTTGCGATTTCTTCGAACGTTCGTCCACAAAACGTAATAAAATTTACATTCCTCGCGTGCCCCATTTCCCGCACCAACTGCATACGTTATATACAATCGTAAATAAAACTTCGAAACGGGAATGCAGTTTCCCGCACGTACAATTATCTTATCGCGTTCGGCGCGCACACCCATGCATACCCATACACACAGATGGTTGGCCACCGTTGAATTTACTTTTCATCCGTCACGAAATGTAATCTCCCCGAATCCCCGTGTTTCTCTCTCTTTATTTGCTTCCTCCCTGCTACGCGTGTTCCACGGATGACTAATTACATGGAAACACCGAAGCACCTGGTCCCAGACCCGTGTTGTTACCAGGTACACGGGATTCGAGCACCGACGTTAGTCATAGCGCTCGAAACAAAAGATTTCGACGACTTGTTTGCTCGGAACTGTCCCCCGTGGTGCCTCGTCATGCAGTCGATGACTCTCGAAACCGCTGGGTGGGATCCCACGATTCCTGGGATCCATTCCCCAAACCGCGCATCCATCATCCTGAATAAACATAAGAACGCCCGATTAGAGTTGGGACAATCGAGTCGTCGGGCAAATAGTTGAGAAGATTCGCCACTCGGGAAAGCAAGAGCTTCATGTCAAGCACCTTGACCGCAAAAGAACGACGAAAAAAAAGAATAACCCATTATATACGAATTTCAAAAGTGAACTCCTTAACCCGTTCGCTACCAGGAAGATTCAAAGCGTTTTGCCTTGGGCGCCAAGATTTGAAACAGATGAGTAATCTAGGTTATTATTTCGATAATAAAATAGCGATGTTAAATTTGTTGTTTTAAAAACAAAATTTACGATCTTCTTTTGCAATAAATCGTGACTCGAACAGCTGAAATTGTGGATTATTTTTAGCTATTTAAAGAATTTATTTTACTTTTAAACATTTTATGAAATTCGAAGAATTTATTCGATAAGTATTTAAAATTAGTATTTATAAATCTAGAAAATAGCTAAAATTGTATATGAAAATTTTCGTTTAATTTAATTAAAAATGTTTCTATTACAATGAAAAGATTTAAATTTAATCTATATATTTAAAAGTTTTATATATTTTATTATGGTTAATAAATTAATTATTTGAATTAGATTTATATAATTTTTAAATAATTAAATATTAGTTTATTTAAATTTTATAATTAATGGAATAAATGAAAGTCTGATTTAGTAATTATAAGTTTTATTCGGTAATTATAAAGTAGTTGGCAGTGAATGGGTTAATTTTGATTCCAATCGACAGAGAAGCCATCTGAAGTTCACGATCTCCCAAAGAACTTGTCACTTTTGATCAGTTCGATAATTCCCTGAATATTGACCATTCGTACCACACATTCGTATGTTTTATCGACACATTGTAACAACGAATGCCTTATCAGTCGTGCACTATCGGCTAGAGGGAGATCTGTACGAGCGCGTGTGACAAAAGTGTTCGAACGACTCGAGTCGGAATCTACATAAATCGACGATTGCGCGCGTTCATACGCGCTCACGGATACTTTTGCCCCTGATCGACTAACGAACGTAAAATATAAATAGAAGTCGACCATGCACGAGATAACTGCTGCCTGACAGGCCAAACGAGTTCGTATTGAAGAGATTTTTGTCGTAGATAATGCCGGACAGCTTTCAAGTCCTGGCAACCAGTAGTGCCGGGGGATTATTGGCCGCTGCGGACGCCAATAATGCTATTCATCGTCGTTCATTTAGTAATATTATCAAAACAACATCGATGTCGTTGATAGAGAGAATATTTTCTTCATTAACGTGACAACCATGGTAGCTGACACCTTCGAGATGCTTTCCACGATAGAAGACCACGTTTCCATTGCTCCTTATCAAATTCTCGTATCGAATCGGTGGAATGAGCGACAACTTCTTCATTAACTCCCTATATGCGAATAAGATCCAAGAAAATGTGACAAGTAAGTGTATTCCGAACTGATATATCCCTTCAAAAACGAAAATAGATACTTACTCGACGCATTCGGTTCAGCAGCGAGAGGATGCAAAATACCCATTGCAAATTGATCTCGAAGAACGTCGATTCGAAATCCGCGTTACTCTACACTGCCGACAGTGTACGGATTGGTCTTCAAGAACCTGAAAGAACAACGAATCTTCTCTTAGCGTGAAGGAACAGAGGATCGGAAACCTATAATGCTTATGTCGAATACAGTTTTTGTATCACGTTATTTTATTTCAGCCAAACACTTTGTTTCTATGTAATTAATACATAGTTTTGTTCCCCGTCGTTCAAAAAATCGTACCCTACAAATAGCAACCTCTGCTACGAGCGCAGCTCGATTCGAGAAAGTTTGGGAGGCACTGGCTCATCCTAATTCACCTCTATTTTCCTTGCGGTCCGAGGGCGCGTTCCGCGATAAAGAAGAGCCGTCCAACCGATTCGCCCTACGGCAGCGTTATCCTCGTGACAAGGCAACGTCGTTACACGTGCCAGATAGAAACGCGCCCACATTAAGGCCGGGGACCGTGTGAAACACGAAGAAATCGGGAAAGGAACGCGTTGCCCCTCCTCGTCGACGCGACACTCGAAATACACGCTCGGAGGCGAGATAAAGAAGGAGAAAAGGAAGCGACACGGACCACGAAAAGGTGTGCTCGAGTGTCCCGCGGAGCCTCGAGACATTCCCGAACTCGAAAACCCACTTAACCGTTCGAGGGGGCCGAAAGATTAGAGGGTAGACCACCGGTGGGCCATCGGCTGCGCTATCTGTTTCAACGGATCCCTCGAAAGAGCTGGCCTGATAAGGGAGCAGTTGTGTGCGGCTTTTAGCGAGCCGCGACAAACCGGCCAGACGGCGGAACCCGCTGAAATCGGCCATCGAACGGAAAACGAAGAAGAAGAAGAAGAAGACCTGACCGGATAAGAAAACGCAGGATGCAAGGCCAATCGCTGACGGCCTGGGCTCTGCCGATTGCCGAGCATCCGGACTTTTACGAGAAGGGCAACGTTAAGTGAAATGATAATAATAATTATACTTTATTTACGGGCAATCTGCCCTTGGTATCAAGTACAATGTAATAACAATGACAAAACAAGAAAAACAAACAAAAATGGAGACGATCACGGTATCTTATAATGTAACGCGTTCAAACTAGATTGCGCATCTGCAAAATTGCAACGACTGATTTTTCAAATGCTAAAGGTGAGTCACGAAAAAGATCGACAGACATATCGCACATATTCTTGTAACACAATTTTGTTTCGCAATTGAGATACGATATGGATCAGTGTAAAAAATATCGCTGCTTCGAAGTTGGCTACTTGGAATATTAAATTTTAATAGTTCCGGTATCCTGGGACATTCCATTTTACTAATGACGATTTTAAAAACTAGCATGAGGTCGGCTACAGTTCGACGCTGCTGAAGCGTGGAGCATTCGCATAGTGCAAATTATATTGTCATAGTCGTGGTTTGCTATATCCATAGGTGTACTTATCTTGTAAGAAACGTGCCTTAAGAATTTATGCTGACGCTCTCAATCATTGTCGCAAGGTAGAACTAACGAGGAGTAAAGAATTGTAAAGGTCTGAGGGTGTTCGAAATCTGCGGATTGTCGTAAGATGAAGCCCAGAGCTTTAAGAGCAGTCTTTTTTTGTGCGTTGGACGTGCGTTACGAAGGAGAAGTTCGAGGTAAAGGTGACATCAACATCACGTACTTCCTCTCGAACTTCCAGCACAGTGTTGTCATTCGAGTAGGAAGATTTAATTGGATTTGTCTTCCGACCAAAATGAACGACGTGTCATTTAGAAATGTTAAACAACAGCATGTTATTCTTACTCCATTCGCTAAGTCTGTCTAGGTCACTCTGCAAAGCGGCGGGATCTAGGATTGAGTCAACTCTTTTAAAAATCTTTTAAAAGTCACGATAGAAATGATTTGTTTAATCGAAACGCGCAGATTTATTTTAGAGATAGTCTGGAGTCCGTACTTAACACGGTTGTTTCGATGCGAAGAGAAAACAGAGTGCAACTAATAAGTTATCACTGTAATTCTTTCACAGTATTTTATTATATTTCAAGTTATATAACATAGAAGAACCCTGGCTAAACCTGGCTAAACCATTTTAACCCAGTACGTGCGATATTTCATTTCGTACAGGCCAAATCCGGTTATTTATCAGACAAACGGTGTATTTCAAATCCGAGCTGTCCGACCGAGCCGATAATCTCTGTTCAACGCTCTCGATCCCGATTTTCGACGTACGGCCGGTCAATTGACCGTAGCATCGACAACCAATCGAGAGTCAGTTGCAGTTTGCAACCTCGTGAACGGCGATTGTTAACGGGTCGTCGAGTTAATATTAGCACAAGGTTTTTCTTACGACTCGAATGCACGAGTGGTGTTGTTCCAAACGACAATGCTGACAACGTGACAAAACATGGCCAATAAGAGCAATATAGAGGGTGAACGGTATAAAGTGTTACAAATTGGTTACTCAGAAATTGATTGATTAAAATTTTTCCAATCGATGCTGGAATCAAATTTGTATCATTCAGATAGATCTCACAAAAGTTTGTAACACTTTACACGAGACGCCCTGTACTTCTTACCCAAGCAGGATTTTCTGGCACGCGTTCACTCTATTTCACCATAGAAACGAATCGGAAGTTTTGCTTTGATCGTGAAATCAAAACGCCCGTGTCCCACGAATCGATTTACCGAGGGGAAGAACCCTCTGGCATGCTGGACCATGCCAGCGAGCAATGCCAAGCAATTACAATTACGAACTTACATATCAATGTTGCTTCCTTAACAAGAGATCAAAACAAAAAGGGGAAAATATTCCTGGCGGGGTGCCGAGAAAACGTGGCGAAAATATAAGAATGTTTATCGATCGTGTCCAGACAGAGAAAACGTCAAACGTCCGAGGGAAAAAAGCGAGCAAAGCGAATGATTAAAAACTGCATAAACGTTCATAAATGTCTGAAAAAAAAATATACACAAAGAGCGAGAGAGGGACACGAACGCACAGACGCGCGTAAAGTCGAAAAGATTTTTGGCAGTACGTCAAAGAAATCCTGCGAGAAATCTCTGCCTCTGTACGCGAACGCCTTTGGCATCGTAAAATGCACGTTTTATTGTAGCATCTTGTCAGCGTTGTTTTTCCATCGTGGCGTGCAAAAGCAAAATCGTAGGAAGCCGTTGGACGCGACGAGGGTTAAGGCTTAAGTGCCACCCTAATCCTTCGCACCGCGGGTACATCCTGAGCAAATCTTACATCCTAAGATAGATTATAAGAAAAAGAAACTAATTTTTGTATACTTCACCTATGCTTTACATTCGCACAAAGTTTCATTTAAATCAGAATTTTCAGGTTGGAAAACCTCTCTTGTTTGACGGTTTCTTTAAAAATAATTCACTTTGCACATGCACCTTGTAAATTTATAAAAACACTGGTTTACCCTAATTCACCTCCATTTTCTCTCCATAAATCAAAGGTGCAAAACCGATCTCTGGCTCTCGGGCGCAGCCGCCATTTAAAGACTCTGGAAACTACCGTTTTGAGTAACGACCCTCGCACCGACTACCTGCGTTTCTAATTTTTTTCCATTATTATTATTACATGCTCGCCGGCGTGTAACCTTACGGTAGACGTGGTAATAAAAATTGCCAGACCTTGTAATAACGTAGCAGGCTGCTAGAACCGATATCAGGGCAGCGATCGCCAAGACCAGAGCGGCGACGTGGAGCGGCTTAACGCGATTCTGAAGAAGCTGATCCGATGATTCTCGACCTCCGGCGGTCGGCCCTGGATCGGGTTGGATCGATCCCATTACGTCTCGATGCGACGATATCCCATTAAACGCGCCTTCGAACATAACACGGGATTTTATATGAATTCAACCTACAGTTCTTATTGTGCACGAATATATTTCCAATTAATTTCGACGGATAATTTCGACATTAACGTGTTCGCTATTATCGTTTGGTCGCGAAACTGGCCCGCATCGATCCCTTTAAATACGATGCAATTTAATCGAATTTAATACCAGTTAATGTGATTTTATTGGGGCTGGGTTTGTATTTGTAATGCGAGAAAGAATCGATCGAATTGAATTTAAACGTTAATTAAAAGCGTGGTCTTGAAAATTATGCGGGAAAAGTAACGATGAATATAATGTGGTTAAATGGTATACATATAGAATCGCTTACCAGGATAGTTCAGAGTTGGTTCCTCGACATCGGGCCTCTCTTCGTCGTGGGTCCACGTGGACACGTTGACGCGATGGTCGGCGTTACAGTAGTCGTGGGTGTCGCAACACTTTAATCTGGGCCAGGGCATACGGATCCAGGCAGCTGACGATCGGTCCGCGTTGTCGTTCGACTTCGACCTCGTGACCCAGGACTTTGTCTCGCACAACAATGGCGTGGCACCCCTGGACAAACGGCAACGAGCGCAACACGCTGATAAAATGGGCCCCCCCGATAAATGCCGTCGCTCGATAGAGTTCCGTGACCCCGGCGATAGCGAGGATTTAAATAACCGTTTCGCGCGATTTATGGCCGCGGGAGATTTCAATATTCCTCGCGTATCGAACCTCGCTACGGCTCGGAGCGAATCGATCGCTTCGCAGGCGATTACGGGGAGTATCAGGAAATCGGGATAGGTCAGTCACCCTGAGATTTTAACCCTCTGCATTCCGAATTAAATTTCAATTTCGTTGCCAGCAGCTGCCAACGCTTTTGAGCGTTTTTATTTGAAATTTACTTTAAAATATAGGGAAATTGTGCGATATTGATTTTGGACATGAAAGTATGTTGAGTCACACTCGACATAGGAGTGCAAAGGGTAGCAATTGGAAGTGGACGTTTGATTGCGTTATCGTTGAATGATGCTAGAAATGATTTAATTGGGAGCATTAAAACAAAAAAAAATCTCGTTAAGAAGAACGTTTCGTCATCCAGCTGGAAGGAATTCGTGAAAACCATTCAGACGCCGATTATCTCGCCAAGGTTATCTGCTACGCGGACCGTTGGTGAATTTATAGGACGTCAATCGTAGGATCCAGCAAATTAAATCGTTTTCGAGGCGAGTCAGCTCGCAAACGGCGAAATTTATTCACCAATAACGCTGGGGAAGGTTAGAGGTCGGAGAGTTACTTTTCGCCGGAGACAGTGTTTACCAGTATCGTTGCCAGTTAAATTCGCCAGAAACGCGGATTCTGGTTCATCTCGTTTCCCTATGATTTCGTTCTCCGCGGACGAAACCAAACAAGCCTCGTCGTCTTCCTTTTATTCCAAAAAATACGACCTCGATACATTTATTTATTGCTCCTCTGGTTACGACTGAATTGCAGATTTTACGCATTTATGACGTATAATATGGAAAACATATGCGCTGGAGTTTGCATGAGATGGATATCGATGCTTTACGGTTAGTATTCAATATTGATCAAGTTTATACGTGCTGTGTTGTTTTTTTCTTATTTTACGAAATTTTGAAATTAATTTTGTCATCCTTTAATGTTTGAAACGAGGATTCTTAAATAGTGGACGAATATTAATTTATTTTGAAGAGGATATTATTAAAGTATACGAACTCTGTACATCCTCTCGTTGTGGCGTTCTCCCCGAACTTTTGATCCCCAGTTAGTATCAGCTCTGTGTAACAAGAAAATTTCGTCTTGCACGTGTCCACCCCTGCTTCCTTGCAGGCCTTGCTGGTACACACGCATCTCCTCCCTACAAATATTAACCACTTTTCAATGTTTAAAAAAAAAAAAAGTAGAAATGCGTTATCCAAAAGATAATCGTGTCCATCCTTGGCTCTATAGGGTGTCCAACTTAACAACGAGCTTTACAACTTTACACTTCGAACGTGACACCCAGTTGAGCTGCATGTCAGACCTACAATGGGTGTGTAGAATGTATTCGTACACCGACTTACCCTCGACGCGTTCGATGCTCGCCGATAGAAAAACCAGAACCATCAGGAGCGAGCGTATGGAGATCGACGACTCGATGGTGGATCGATCGAGACGCATACCGTCAGATTCAACGGAAGTAGCCACTCCAGGAATCACGAAGCCCTCGAATAACGAAGTGGATCGACGTCGTGGAATCACTTAACGCGACGACGACACGAGGAGGATTTCATTGATAGGGAGATCGACGGCCGAGCAGGTTCTGCTCCGGATAGGGAATCCAATTTTGTAGACTTCATGTCATTATAACAAACCACCAGTCCTAAAGAGTGACTGACCAAACATGTTTTCAAAGTAAAATCTTTAAAACTTAGTTATTCTGAAAATCGTGTAAAACAAAGTACCGTGCAAACAGGAATTGGACCGTATTTTTTTATTAATCCGTCATTCGAATGAAATATCGCCCATGTCTGGTTCGTCCCGAAGATATCGTGTCTCGGTAACGATAACGATAACAGCGAAGGATCCCGTCACTTCCCGTCGACGAATGATGTATTCGTTGCCACTAGAACCGGTCGAAGCGAAACTGGAGACGTGGAATATACCGATCGATGCTTTCCGAATAATTTCACGTCGGATCGACAACGTCCCGACAACGATAATCGTCGACAATAAAAAGGGAAAAAAACCGATTGTTCGTTGCCAGTTGGAAGATCCCGGAGTCGCCTGAACGTTGAATAGATTCCAAAGGAGGCGACGGTGTTCTTCCGAGGAAGTCGACTCGTAGGCCAATCGAAATCGAACACAGAATCACGGCGCCGAGTCGCGGCGACTGACAGCGGAGACGTCGCGAAAACACGTCGTGTTATCGGCGTAAAGGACTATTTGAAAATGTCTGTAGGAAGCTTGAAGAAGAAACTGTTACCCGCGTGGGCTTCTCTAATTTTAGTACCTCCCACTGGGAGAGGAACGCGTCCTTCTATTTCTCTTGCTCCTCGTCATCTCTTACGCGCTCGCTTACCACCTCTCTCTCTCTCTCTCTCTTGCTCTTTCCTCGTTCTCGTACCCACCTCACGAATTCACTTGCATATTCTATTTTAAATTCCGTCATCGGTGACATTAGTTCGATCCGCGTAACCTTGCCGCGCGGATGGCGCACAATAGGCGCGACATCCTCGAGAGGATTTCTTTTTCGAAGCAGATCGTCCCCTTTTTCGAAGTGTATAGGTAACGCAAGTCCAAAGGGAGCCATCTGTTGCAATTTGTTCCTCCTTTCAGGGAGGAATTGTTTTAATTGACACTTATCAAAGGGACTAATTGCTTTTGTCCTCCGTTCGTCGGCCTCGCCGGTCGCTTTTTGCGTTTTCTCACCGCGAGTCGGTATAATTCCTGCCAAGCCTTCGCTGTGCTCGCAATTTATTCGCACTTTCGCTGGACCACGCCGGTCTTTTTACGCCGTGCCTCCGAGGTCTCTTTAAGCCGACCGATTTATTGGAACAACAACACGGGGATCCGTGTACGCGTTTACGCAGCCACAGGGATATCACCGACGACTTCCAGATGGGCGAGCTGAGCCTTTGAACGCGCCCAATCGCGAAACCTCTCGCATCGCAATGAACGATCGAAGTTTCCGTACGGTGGATGTTCGTTTCGGTCGTTAGCAGAGTTTCGCGAATAATATCCATAGGACGTTCTGAAATCGATCGCAAACGTCGGAGAATACTTTTAGCGAATAAATAATTGAGGCAGGCGAATAAATTCATTTCGTGAAAGATAACAGTGTCGTTTGAAAATTTTAATGAGATAACTGTTATTTCAAAGACTATTTGAAAGTTTATTTGGAACGCGTGTTAAAGCGCCAAAGGTCAGAGATTAATTAAATTGTTTTACGATCCTGTCGTTGGAGAGTTCGTCTGATGGGTTTTTCGAATGTAAATTCAAGTTATTCTAATCGAAAACGTTAAAATCGTGTTTAGAGGATACGGAAACAGAGGTTTCTCTACCTTGCGCGAGTGTCTGTCTCGAGAAGTTTTATTCCAAAAGTGACGCAAACGATTTTAGTTTTCTTGATTAAAATAAGTTTAATTTACATTCCGACAACCGAACAGACGAGTTCTCTGACGGGCGAATGACAATTTTATTTCCTTTTAACCTTGTACAGACACTTTCGCATTCCTTTGAATACATCTTAGTTCTGTTTTTACTATGTACGCCATAATTCGTGGTGTTCTAGCCTCAAGAATATTTCTAAAACTTCATTTTATAAAAATTGAGCTTTACACTTAGATACAGAATTGCTTTTATTTTTATAACTACCAATACTTCGGTTTTCAATGAAAACTTTGACAAAATGTATACATTCGCTGATAGCAAATAGTACACTGTCAAAAAAGAAACATAAATGACAGTCACCTGTCCACTCCATAGAATAAACATTACATTATTTTACACATTCACTGGTTACTTTAATTTTATCGTAACATGCAAAATCGATCGACTGATCAAATTTCACCTACCTGTCGGTGGAAATTCTCACGACTCGTCCTCAAAGCCTACGACGTCACATAAAATGCTGCGTACGCTACATACGTGCTACATAGTTAGACGTAACGATCAATAAACATTTGCACTTGTATAGCGGCATTTTATTCGTCGATTCCTGCATTTTATTAGACCGCGTCCCTACTTCTTTCTGTCGTCGCGCTTTCACAGAATTCCAGCCACTTTTATTTTAAGGAAAGCTCCCCCCGTCGCCGGCGAGTATCCCCTAAACTCGACCGATTTATTGGGACAATAACGTCTAGACTGTACGCGCGTTCGTATTTTTCAGTGATATATTTCCGGCCATCCAGATGTAACCAATCCTCACGGAGAAGGGTCTCCGGCGACGGACAGCGAAATTGGCTTCTCGCGAAACTTAAATATGTAAATACACTTAGGAGACGTGCAGAAACAACGGAACTGTTTCAAGTCGATACGACGAGACCGCGATACTTGTAGAAAATTTGTTAAGATTCGGTCGTGAGACAGCTGTTGCTAAACCTCATTCTAAAGACCTACAAGAAACCATGCACGAAATTACCCACCCTGTTCACCAACCATCGAGGTATCATCCAGGAAACCACGATTCGTCTAAATTGAACTTGACGCTTGCAAATGCAACGTAAAGGACGTTATTAGTACGCGGTATCGAGGTTCTCTCGTACCTTTTTCAACATTCTGAAGTCTGAATGTGATTTGGACGCTCAAAGCGGAGTGAAGCGTAGTTAGATGATCGGACGACGTTGAACGTCTCAATCGCAGCCACCGGCATTCAGCGGCAAGGCAGACCAGAGTTTAATTCCTCGGCTGGTTTCCTGTCCATGCAACATTAAGCAGAGCCCCGCTGGTTGCACATTTCTTTATCGTCGTTCGTCGAGTGACAGTAAAAGCCAGCCTGGGTTATCGGAATGACACTTCGTTACACTCGAACGAGGTCGCCGGCAGTCTGCTCCCTTACCGCTTCTTATTGCACAAGCGGATCGAGTGTCCGCCGTAAAAAGATTTACAAGGGAGCACAAGGATTTCTTTCACGCGGCTAATTTATTGAAATGTATCGCGGACGTTCAGCTGATCGGACCTATACTGATCGCAGGCGGCCTGGCATCGTCGATCCACGGTAACGGGCGACTCGAGGCCTTTTTTTCTGGTATCAGCGACTCCCAAACGCTGATGCTCACGGCATGGATAGCAATAGAAGTCGTTGTAATATTGGGTTAGTTCGGAAAGTCCATGTCGATTTTTGGTAGGTGCTGCAGGTCTGAATATATCGAAGTGGTTGAGAACAAATAATATGTATGCATCCCTTAAAAAGTGGAAAGGTTGTGGAACAAAATGGCACCTATGTAATTCAATAAATATATATTAATGTTCAAACGTGTCTTTGAATTTTTCTTAGAAATTGGCACGAACTTTCTGGACAACCTAATACTTCAGCTGAACAATCGAAAATTAAATCTTTCACGTTACGTTTATTTCACATCCAATGTTCGCAAAAATTGCTCCAAAGGATCCGTTTATAAAACATGGCTTTCGATTGATCTCCAGACGCGGCTGATCTGGGATCCGTTAGAAGATCTTCGCCAGAGTCCTCCATACGATCTAGGACGAGACGCCGCGATAATTTCGATCTACCAACCAAGAACGTTTCTTCTACGCCAGTAATTAAGTTTAATTACATCAACTCAGCCGTGAGAACTGGAGTTTCTCAGGTGTAAATCGTTGGAGGCCTGCTATTTATTAATGGATGTATAGTGGTAGCTACAGCGTGGGATTTCGAGGGAATAAAAAGAAGGCGATATTATTAAACGCGGCACACACCCGTATACTTTATTTGCAGTTTTTCAGCCGTCGCTACGGCGAATCGTACGGTAACGAGACGGTATTTTTCCTCTCTCAACCTACGCAACTAAGTACAAACACACTCGTGCGAAATGTCAAACGCGTATCGGTTCCTTTCTTAACGCGTTAAGCGCCGAGACTACTCTGTAAGTACATACGTATATCCCTTTGTAGGTACGTATCCAATCTGTATGCGTATTTTTCTTGGTTCTCGTAGAAATGACTTTACTTCAGTCAGTTGGCTTAGGTTCGTGTTTCGTGTGTGCAGTTGAAAAGAATTATCTTCTATACTAACTTAATTTTCCCTTAAAGACGTCGTAGCGTCGTATACGTCGAGTCATCTTCTGTTGTCACCAAAGAATGATATTTAATTTTTTAAGATATATATATATATATAGTAATAGAGTATTAATTCCATTGGTAAATTAGTTCGATCCTCCTCCTTCCAAATATTTACAACGATACAGTACATATATCGATCGTTGGTAGTTTCACTATTAACATATTAAAGTCTTCGGACGTTCGCCATTATAACGCTAATCGTCAACGCCGATCTATTCTCGTAACGTTTCGACTGACACATTGTTTTCGCATTTGTGCGTCTGCCGCGAATTGACACGATCACAGCCAATGATTGTACAGAGGGAATATCGAACAGCATCGCTCGACGACGCGCATGTATTGCACACAGCGACTTGTTACAATACAAAACTGTATCGAATTCTTCCGTTCTGTGAACGCGATACGTAAGCGTGCGCAAAGTCCATCTCGAGCATCGATCGCGGCCCGATCGCCGCGTTCCAGCGATTGCCGTTGAAAATCGCATTCGGGGCAGATCGAGATCGATATTACGAAATACTACGCAAGGCATACCAGGAAATGCTATCTTGTCGCGTTGACACGATTACGTTGGTTACATTCGTCAAATATATGCGAGGAAAACGGTAAATTATCAGAGTTACGCTGTTATCGCTGTTATCACATATGTTCGGAGTATTGAAAATTGTTGGAGTGACATTGTTTCGAAGGAGTATTTTATAAATTAGAATTATTTTGATTTCTTTGAGTTTTCTTATTCTTGTTATCTTGAGTTCTTCTCGAGAATGATAACTTTTGCTTTGTACCTCAGGAAAGGTACATCAGAAATTCGTCCAATTTGATATACTGCTTCCACTACATTTTTTAATAAAATTCTGAATGGTTTTTCCTCGTCTTAGTCCAGTTTTAACATTTCATTGCAACTTCTGACTGTTAAAGCCAAGGAAAAATTCTGCGCAACACTGCCAGCTTTTATACGTTTTATGCATTCGCGCACATTGATAAGGATGGATTAGATACCTTCCAAGCATATGATACATATAATCGCAATTTTATCGTCGCAGAGGCGTGTGGCTCGGCAACGTCCGAAGTAACTCTCCATTCCAGTCTTTTGCAAAGATTACAACGCGATTAAAAGCGTTATCGAGGGATCGATCTTGAGATGGGGGAAGTTGGAGAAGGGAAGGGAAGACGAGGAGTCAGGGACACGAGGGGTAAAGGAGATCGAGGGAGATACGCGAAAAGAGAGAAAGAGGAAACGTCGCCTTGGATTCCAGTTGCTCGATTGTCCTTTTTAATTAGCTCCCGATCTCTTCATGCCCGGTCAAGTACGTAGAGCGTGTCTTCTTAATTGTTAATGGGAGTTACGCCCATTCGAGTCCTCGAGAACGGGTTTCGATCGGGTTGGTTGCGCTCGATCCGGAATGGGATGCAGAAACCTCCGAGGTATAAAATTCCAAATGCTCGAGCGATGTTCAGAAGTGCCGAAACGACTTAAACCTAATCAATTTCGAACCGCGATTTGTACTCGGCCTCTATTAGCGCGAACCACCGTTCGAGCTACATTTTATCAACCACATTCCATCGCGGTGTTTTCCAAAACAAACCCGGTACTATTCTAGTTTTCACAGAGCATCTCGCCTGATCGCTAAAAATTCTTTTAACAACCATAGTTTGGGAAACGCCTAAGGTCCACTTGTACTTGTCATTTTACACGATGACATTACAGTCGCGTAGCGAGCTACGCGTCAAGCAAGCGGTTGGATCGCAATCTATGTATTATAAGCAGCCTTGGTGCCAAAACGATCATCTCGCGCAACGAAAGCGCAAGCGTTCGCAATCTTGGTTAAAATCGTTCCTCATTTGTTCAGAATGTTGGCCGCGATCGAGGTGTTTTCGAGCCGCTGCCGGTTATTAGGTTCGCGAGGGCTATAAGTAAAGAAGACGCGTTTATCGTAAATGTTGAATGTTCTCCGCGACATAATGATACGGCCACGATGTTCCGGCTGATCAAAGCCTAAAGCGAAGCGACACGGTGTCTTTCCAGGCCCATTACCCCGCAAAATGATCATCTTCCAGCTCCTTCCATCGGTCTCGTCTCGTCGGCATAATTCCGTCGCTATAACGACTTCACGCGATCACGGGGGCTGCAATAGTAATCAATGCACGGGGGCAAAAATAATATTAAAGAATGCGGTTGCGCGACTCGCTTCAGAGATAAAGGGGGTACTCATCTTTTTCGGGAATTAAAAAGTAGATTTCTTTTTCTATATTCTTGTTGCTTGAGATCTTTCAAATATTTCGGTAAACACGTTACCATTTTGGTAAACACGTTTCATAACGTCTTATTTGTCGATTAAGGGGTTAGTCGCAGTCAGGAAAATGAAACCGGACAGTTTCTTGTGTTTTTTTTTTTTTTTTTTTTTTAAGGTATTAAATAATCATTTTTATCAATGAAATTTAAATATATAATAAAACATGTCTTGAAGAACTATAAACAAATTTTTGTTTTAAAAAAAGGTTAATTCATTTCGTCATAACAGGCGATGGTGTGGGTGGCCATTTTGTTTGCGGTGAGAAGGATTTCTTCTTGAATTAACCTTTTCTTAAAACAAAAATTCTTTTATAGTTCTTTAAGACATACTTTGTAATATATTTACATTTCATTCATAAAAATTATTATTAAATACCTTAAAAAAACACACACACACAAGTAAGTGTCCGTTTTCATTTACCTGACTGCGACTAACCCCTCAAGAAAAGTAATTCATAAGCGAAACTGAAAGAGGTCCTATCTCCTACGTAAGACTAGAAATATCGAACGCACCGAGCTTGACTAGGAAATGTCACCGGTCGTATTAATAAGTGTACTCACTGAGTTGACTGACGCCCGGCTGAGAGGCGATTACGAACATTTTTCTATGCGACGGGAAAAATTCCGCCGTTGGGATTATACTTATCAGTATCTCGTTCTGATTGCTTCCTGGACGGCTGGCGCGATCGTTACGTCTGGCGGCGTGCGTGTTGTGTCCTAATGGTACACCTTGAATATTATGTCTGCAATTACTGACTATGTAGCTGCTCACCTGGTTTCGAAAAGGAATCAAAATAACCCTCGGGAAACTTACGTAGGCCACAACTACGCAAGGGACAAGCGAACTGTCCGAAGCAAAGGTGATCTAGGTGGGTTTCAGCCACTGTTACTACGTGAATGGTCTCATGCCAAATTGCCAACGACACGTTTTGCGGTAGCATTTTGAATTTTAGTGAAATTTGAGTAGATCGTTAATGTTTGAATCTAGTACTAATACTAATTAACTTCTGAGGTCATTTGAAACCCCTCTCTAACTTATACGTATTTAACCATTAGGTGAATCAAAAGTTCTTCTTCTTCTTCTTTATATTTACTTTTTATGAACGTTACAACTGAATAAAAATATTCAAGTGTTATGTTATACGTATCATTCACTGGCCAACTGTGAACTTTTGATTTTATCACTTTTTAAAAATTGGAAATATCTTTTGGTTCACCCTGCTACTTCATTACACTTGCAATGTTGTATACTCCTGAGTATCTATACTCAGCATTTAATAAAAAAGAAAACTAATAACGAATATAGAGTGCCAGGCAGTGTACGACCACCCTTTTCGACCACTCACCGAAGACACGATAAATACAGCGAGTAAAGCAACGCCCAGCCAAAAGTACCAGGCTTCCCAGAAATGTCGTGGCGGCCGTCTTTGCACCAGGAGGCAACACTGCGAATTGCAACAACAGTACACGCAATACTTGTCTGGAGTGCAAGCATAAGGTTTTATCGTTTCACTGTCCCCCGTGCCGTTCCATAGATCCGCGCTGCACTCGTAATACAATCGTGCCATGTCGCGTTACGAGCATGATCCCTCTTTGCCTTGGTTTCAAACGATTCTATCGAATCCTCGGAGTTTATCGGCGCTAGCCGAATTTCATTCGAAGCCAACGAGGCAGCGAGACGACGCGCGGATCGATGAAGCCACCGCATCGAGTCACGAACGATCTAAAAAGATCTCGTTATTTTCAGAATGCATAGAGCCGCCGGCGCCGCTTAATTTACCGCTCCAGACACCTGTTCCCCTTACTTACCAGGCTGGTGACACGCGACCAACATGCAAAACGTGATTCTCAGCTCGCGCGATCCTTTATTTTTCGTGGAGCCTTTCGACGCGTTCGTGTGCTCGAGGACGACTGTTTTGACGCTCATTTGTCCGCACAACGTTATCACCGACTGGACAGGACAGGCTCGAAATAATCGATAGCACGAGCTTGGCACGTCCTTATTCACACGCGACTACCGATCGATGTACCAAATGACCGAGTTTCTGAGCCTTGGGAAAACAACTGGCGAATTTACTGTGAATTGATGCAGCTATTAAGTTGATACGAAAGTTACGAGTTTAGCAGTTAGAGTAACGAAAATCGCTCTTCGATCGCTTTGAAGTCGCTTAACGAATTGATCGCAGGACTCGGGGTGAACCACCAAGACAGATGATGTTATAGAAGCCGTAGATGGTGAAACAACGGCAGTAGGATCTATAGCGTGGAATTGATAAAAGTTAGGAGTTTGAGGCTTTCATGAAATGGTTCTTCATGGTTGATACTTCGATACTAACCGAGAAACTATCGTGTCCTTTGCTTAAGGTACTCCGACGTTTCGTCAACTTTACAGCTGATGACGAAAGGAGCGATGAAAGGAAGTCCATAATTCATGATTCAGAAGTTTATTACGAAATTCTTGTATGAAATACGTATTTGTACAATCTATTCTCCAGTCTGATTCAACATCGTGAACACAGTAAAAATTGTTACATTACATTTGGTCAAGCGACGATTGGTAAGATGGATAGTAATCTTAATATTGATTCGCATCGTGAGGGGGTGGCGGTGGCGGTGGACCTCTCGGTGGGAATGGCGGTCGGAACTGTGGTGGCGGAGGCGGAGGTGGTGGCGGGCCTCCCTGCGACACTGGAGGAGGTGGTGGATGTCTCCAACCAGGCGGTGGTCGCGGTGGTGGCGGTTGAAATTGTCCAAATTGCGGTGGAGGTGCTCCGGTGGAAGAGGGCGGCGGAGGCGGTGGAAACTGACCTTGAGGTGGCCCACCAACACCCCAATGGGGCGGTGGTGCCATCATTCTGGGTGCCCCTTGCGCCTGTGACGTTGGAACGGGCATAGGTGGTAACGGAGGTGGCATACCAGGTGGTAGAGGAGGATGGGCTGCCATCGACATCGGTGGTAACGGAGGTGGAGGAATGCTGGATGGAGGGAAACCGCTCGATGGTGGAGGTGGAACAGGAGGCGGCGGAGGGTGACCCATCGGAGGTCCAGGTGTCGACGGTGGTGGTGGAGGTGGAACAACCATTCCGTGGTGCATCACGTGGTGTTGAGGATGATGAGTAGGCTGATGAGCTGGGTTTGAATTTGGCATCGGGGGCGGCGCCAATGGAGGAGCGTCGGCAAAGAGTTGATGAGGCCTGTCCGCTTGACTCAGTGGATTTTGAGCGGCTAGCAATCTTTCGGCTGCACTGCCGTGCCTTTCTCCCTTAGCGTCGCGTTTAAAAGCGTACGATACGGAAATGGGTCTGTTGCATAGGTATTGTCCGTTCATCGCTTCAATACTCGCGTCGGATGCGTCGAATGAGGCGAAGTTTATGAATGCGAAACCCTTTGAGTTTCCTGTTTCAGGATCCCTCATTATCTGAAACATGAATATGTTATAAACAAATCCAATACAATATAATATCAATTTTACTTTTTTAATTTGTATTACTAATCGTCCAAATATATTACCTTTGGTGTTTGAAGTATCACCCCAAATGCACTGAAAGTGTCATACAATAGTTTTTCATCCACTTCTGGATCAAGATTTCCAATGAAAATGTTAGCTCCCACATCCAGATTCTTTTGATGAGCGCTTGCTTTATTCACTCTTATTGGTTTTCCATACAATTTTATCATATTCATTATTTTAATGGCATAGTCTGCATCTTCTTCTCCCATAAATTCAACAAATCCATAACCTTGATGCATTTGAGTCACTCTGTCTTTAGGCATATGGACATTGACTGAAAAGTGTTATTAAGTATATTTTAGTCTCATATTTGAAATTAATCATTGAAATATATATGATATGTAAATTACATACCCACAGGTCCCGATTGTACAAACAGTTCCCACATAAGGGATTCTGTGACTTTGTCATCCAAACCACCGACATATATCGTAGCATCTGAAAAAATTGTAAATTACACTTCAATATCAAAAGTTGATCAAGCGTCGATGCATATTTCTGAGTGTTAATTCAATGTTTATATACACATAACCTAACGTATTTTAATACTCCATACTTTACAAGAGAGTAACAGGTAGGAATAAATAAAGATTTCAGAACTTAACAATGCGTATTACACAGTATACACTTACCTTGATTGCGTTCAGCAATCGGGCCGGCTGCCATAATTAACACTCACCCTGCTGACTTAGAGGTTATCAATTTTTACCGTACATGAGGAATCATAGCAACTGTAAATGCATCTCCGCCATTTTAGTTAACCTCAAGTTGTCGGCTGGATGAAACGCTAGATGGTGTTCTTTAAACTTGATAATCGGTTATCAACAGTTATCAATTTACTGTGCATATATAATCATAACATTTTAAGATATGTATGTACATTGTTTAAATTAAATATTTAAAATTAATTTTAGTCCTAGTGGCGCCATCGGTGGATAAACGCCCAAGTTTGTAGTGAAAATAGTTCTCACGGTTTCTATAAGATGGCGCCATTGATATATTTCAATGAGTTTATTTTTTATAAAAACGTAATTAATACGATTCATTGCTTTATAACGATACTTAATATGTCAAATTTATCGTTTTTATGAATATTTATTTAATGCAGCAATAATTATCGACCGCTAACACTGTTGGGTGTAATAAGTTTCAAATATAAGAAAACATATTCGTATTTATTTTAGTACATAATATTAACTCAAAATAAGATAGATTCCATAACATTCAATAATTCTTATAACTATGATTCTTTTAAATAAAAAAATTGCAATCAAATCTTATTTGTGATCCTTCAGATATGTTTATGTAGCACTGGCTCCTTGAGTTTCTTGAGTTGCTAAAATAATTGCATTGATAAATATTTCTGTATCTACTCAAAAAATCTACTACAAATCATAATACCTTTGTAAGAATATTCCAAAGCAGTAGCTATAGTCCTCATGTCTCCTTCGATACTACGTGCCCAATTTTCTGCATCACCAATTTCTTTCAATGCACTCGAAAAAGATTCTACCACATTCAGCCAAGATTGTGTCTGTTTTGCAAAATTCGTTGCACTATGTTGCAATTGCTTTGCCTCTGCATCTAATTTCTTTTGATTTAGATATGCTTGGGCTACCCTACATTGGAAATATTTATTTTACGAAATCTTATACTTCACTGTGCATACAAAAAAAAGAAAAACACCTAATACTTACCCTACATTTAAATGATCAACTAAAGCTTGCGTCAAATTACTCGCGGCTTGAACAGCTTCTCTTCGTTTTTGTTCTGTCAAAACATTACTTTAAGTACAATTTTCTATGATTCTAATTCATTTATTTGGGTACAAGGATCTTTCAATTACCTTGCCTCTCTTTTCTTGCTGCCTGTTTACTTTGATGCTCTTTTACAATCGTAGATAACATCTTCGTTAATAAATAAATACACCTCCTAACACTATTTGTAGGTTACATTCGTAACACGTCGAAGATGTTCTTATTTACAAATTGATAATTAATCACACAAAGGGAGTCTATTTATTTCACGTACGATTTACATTTATTTCAAAATACATACAAATCCATTAACAATTATTTGTATTAAATGTTGCTTATCGATTTCAAAGATACATGTCAATCTGGTAATTTGATATCTATTTACTTCGAAGAATGAAACTCTTGTGAATACTGCTTAAAACGTCGTACCAATCATCAGTGTTCCAACAATATCTCAACAATTAAGATGTCCTTAAAATCTCAACCAATAAACAACGGTTAAATATGCTAGGACTCCGTGTTCTAATAATAAATAATGTGTCATCTGTTCAACCAAGGATTGGACAAAATTGTACAAAAACAAGCGTTTGTATTGGCACACCACGCAGATACGATGCTCGCCAGTAGATGGCGGTGCATGCAAACTTTTTTCAGTCTATGTAGTATACGGAGTAACGAGTATGGCGACTAGTTCTCGTTGGTGTAAAGTTTACCTGTTGATAATCGAATCGGTTTTAGCTCGAAGAAAACTATAGAATTACTTCGACTCTGACGAGGCGAATTGCCTCCATCGAACTCCTCGTTTGACACGACATTCTATTCTAATGAGGTGGTTAACACTTTCATACAAAACAAGTGTAACCAAACGATGCACCAGAATCTCAAGAGTACGAAAATTAGGAAAGAAGTGCTGTCATTATTTATACATTTAGCATAAGTTGCTAGACGATGGTTTTCAACGTCGCAAATGTTTTGTAAAGGACTTGATGGTTAAGAATTCGCCAGTGTTTTCATTCACGTCCACTCAGATAAATAAAAATGTAATATAAATTCCTGTGTTTACCCGCGGTAATTGACACCCCCTGTTTTCTTTGGAAAAGAACATTTTAAAAATTTCATATGAGAGAATGGCAATTCGCATTACGTTAGAATGTGGGCACTCATCGATGTTACGTATGCGTACTACCCCTCAGGGTTATACTCATGATTGGGAATTATTTGTGCGGGGTGTTGAGAACGTTGACATACATCATTATGTTGAGAAAGGTAGATATACTCTTTGATCTAACTACTCTCTGTCTGTTTATTCTTAGGTGTGAGTTATATGTCATCTAATGTATCTTATTTTAAAATTCAGTGGTTTTTCAACTGCACGAAACTTTCACAAAACCAAAGAGGGTACTAAAAGAGCCACCATTCGAGATCAAAGAATCCGGTTATGCAGGTTTCGAGATTCCTATTCATATTTACTTAAAAAACAAGGATGAAGGAACCAAAAAGATTGAAATTTTATACGATCTTCACCTACAATCGAGTGGCCCTGCTATTACAAATCTGATACGACACACCGAAATAATTAACAACCCTTCAGATGAATTTAGAAGAAAATTATTGAAGGGTGGTGGTGTGAGTATATTTCATTTTACTTTCCATTGCTATTTTATGTTTCTATAGTCTATTCAACAAATTTTTATGCTAACAGGTTATCGTATCCAGTTCTGAAAGTTCAGCAGAGAAGAGTGAAAACAAGACACCAATTATGGTCGGTAAACCAAAGTTAAGCGGAAGCGAGACGAGAAAGCACAAAACCGTAGAATCGAAAACATCAAATTCTTTCGCTGAATTATTTGGAACTCCCCTGAAACCCACCAAGGTTTCTCAGGACCCCAAAAAGCCTGTGCAACCTGAAAAATCATCTGTTCCAAAACCGTTAGTTACCACAGAGAAGTCGGACAAGGTGGAGAAAACATCTAAACTTAAAGATAGCCCTCACAAAGAGAGTAAAAAGGAAAAGGTAGACGAGAAAAAGGACAAAAAGGTTAAAGATCAGTCTAAAGAAAAAAGTCGGAGTAAAGAGAAATCAAAACGGTCTTCTAGTCCGAGTAATAAAAGTCATTCGAGTCCTTCGAACAAGAGACCTCCGTCGCCAGTTTCATTAAAAAGACCAGCCAGTCCTTCGAGTCTACCTCCCGCGAAGAGACCAGCATCTCCAAAATCCAAGGAGAAGGAGGTGAAGAAAGTAATCCCAGAGAAGGAGAAGGATAAAGGGAAAGAAAAGGATAAAACGAAAGACAACCCGAAGAGTGTCGCGGATTCTTCTAAGAGCGAAAAGAAAAAGGATAAGAAGAAGCACAAAGAGGACAGGGACAAGGAACGGAAAGACAAGTATAAAGAAGGAGAACGGTCCGCCGTTAAGGAGGTTCTAAAATTGAATGAAAAGAAGAATGACAAACCGGAAAAACCTGAAAAATCGGAGAAAGAGAAGAGTCAAGAGTATAAATCCGTGAAAGACGGAAGGAAATCGCCAAAGCTATCGAAGGAGGTGGAGAAACCAAAGGAGGAGAAATTATTGAAGGTAGAGAAACCAGAGAAGACTGAGAAATCCGACAAGGTGAAAGATGCGAAAAACGAGAAGGACAGGCAGAAGCACAAGCATAAAAAGAGGGAGAAGAAAGACAAACGGGACAGCAGCAAGGAAAGGGACAAGAAGGAGAAACGCGACAGGATAAAGTCGTCGACGGAGAAGCAGAACAACGTGCCTAACATGCCAGTGGCTAACCCTCTCTCGACTTTGCTGGCTGAAATGCCTAAAAGGGATAGCAGCGATTCGGCGCCATCCGTCGACGATGATTCCTTCTCCGAACCGAAATTACCACCAATCGTTAAAAAGGAGGTGGAGAACCTGACGGTTTCCACACCTCCCACCGAGATGACGAAGCCACTCTCGCCTGACATGCCAGCGGACATGAAGAAGGAAAAGGTGGACAGGAACAAGAGGGAAAAACCAAAAGGTAACAAAGGGGAGGAAAAGGAAATACGTAAGAGGAAACGGAGGAGCGAGAGCAAGGGCGATGATGAACACGTGGTGAAAAGAGAGAAGGACCGAGGTCATTCCACGTCGCCACCTCTGGAGCCAGTTTCGTCCAGCCAGTCGCCTGTCGCGGTGGATCAGGAAATGGTTCACAACGCGAAAGACAAGGAGGACCGTACCGCCACCGAGCAAATCGTCGAGAAAAGTGTGGAGGCCGAGGTGGAGCAAGTAGCGCCTGATTCAACGAACAGTACTTTGGTCGAGTCGGACATAGGAGAGCCGCCAGTGTTTTCAGAGGATTATGTGTCCCAATTGAAAGACTTGCAACAAAAGATAATGACCTTGCAGGATAACCAAGAGCTGCAGAGAGTCGTTCAGGTGATCGCGGAGACCGGTCAGTACGAGATCACGAAGAAGACGTTTGACTTTGACCTGTGCGCTCTGGATCGTAGAACAGTGCAGCGCCTTCAGCAGTTCTTTGCGTCGTGACCGTCTGTAGCTTAAAGTATATGCAATCTTCATTTTACATATTATTCTATGTATAAGTCACTAAGTTATTTGAGCTTACAAGAGATTCTTCCACGAGAATATAAAGTAATATATAAGACCCCAGAAGAATGTTGCACATAAAAAAAAAAAAAAACAAAATACCTCCTCGACGAAGCGAGGAGATATCGTTTCTTTAATCTGGGTGTAACGCTTGAAATTCATCGTATTTTTCGTTTTAATTTAACCGATCGCGGACTGGTATACGTAAAAAAAAAAATTAACGAGAAAACGAAACACGACGTTATTGTTGCTTTATTTTATTTTTTTTTTTTTCAACTCCAGGCTTCGTCTTTGTCGCGAGATAAGCTTATTTTCTTACATTTTTACACGTTTTCAGCACTTGTTACTTTCTACATTATTTTTTTTTTGTACATAGGTGATATACATATAATCTGTATAAAGAACAGATCGGGAATTGTACATTTGCATCATCGTGTAACATAGAGGTTTCTTTTTATCGTTCCTCTGGGGGAACGTTCTCGAAATGATCTGCAGTGCATTTATTCACGTTACGTAGACACGAGTGTATTTTGAGTTGTTTTTTTTTTTTTCGCTCGATTTTGTATATTATAAATATTGAAATCGTTAGGTTTACATCGTACGGTGTAATCGGGGTCGTTTGAAAAAGAAATTCTCTGCATCGTCATTGCCTTGTAACATAGATATATTCTTGATATCTCGCGTAGAGTTTAACGTGCGTAGGTTCATTCTCACGAACCAAGGACACCTTGTATTTATTGATATTTTCATACGCGATCGTATTAACGTAAGAACGATCGGGGCGATCATTCGATGATTTTACATTCGTCAGTGAATGTCGACGTGTCTTTGTTTTTTTTTTTTTTTGCGTTTGTATTTATACCCACGTTACATTGGAAACGAAGCGGGATTTGCTCCGAATCTTTGCTGAAATAATTTATCGCGTCGTGTAGCACGCATTTGATGACGGCGTTTCTTATTTATCTTTATGTAAAGTATTTACTAAGTATTAGGCTGAGTTGTAAGTTTTACAGGGGTAAAGAAAATAAACGCGAAAATTAGCGAAAATACTTGGGAATGTGAGCAAATATGGCCGTAGTGAAAAAATTCCTTTTTTTCTTTCAACGTTTTCATACGAATTTGCATTCGTAATTTAAAAAAAAAGAAGTTTTGAGTTGAAAATTCATTCCACCATTTTATCAGTAAAACCGTAACGAAAAGTTGTTTGACTGTAGTACGAACAACGGATATTATTATCTGTATAAAAATATAAATGCTTTATTCAAGGATTGTATTCAACGAAACATAATAATAATAATAATATGCAACTTATATCAAATGTATGATTTGTATAACACTGTATTAATATTAGTATGATGGGTTTCGAAAGTACATATCAGTGAATTAGTATACAATTTAAATATATAATCTTTATAGTATAATCTTTACCGCCTGTTAATGCATTATTAATTAATTAGACTAGTAATTCACTGCCACGTGTTATGTTCAATACGGGTGTTAGGCAATAGCGAAACCATTATACTTATCATAATTCAACGTTATATTAGAATCATAGATCTAGCATAAGTTGTACGTTATTATTATGTTTCGTTTAAAATATAAAATATAAAATTGTTATTTTTAGATGGATAATAATATCCCTTTTTTAATTAAATCTTCCATACTGGTGATGAAAACATAAATAGAGCTTAAAGTTTATAATAAGGACAGGATGTCGCGTGTCGTGTTTGTATTATACTTTCCAAGGTGTTTCGTCAAATTGTATATTAACGTAAAAAAACGTCGAAAGGAAATCATTTCTCGATCGTAGCTATATTCGCAAATATTCCAGATACTATTATGTTCGTTTTCGAGCTGTTAGCTATGGACGCCGTGCCTTTGAAGGGAAATTATGCCGCAAATGTTTTATTCGAGGCACGTCTCCGTTTTACTCCCGCATGACCAAGCGT